ACAATAATAAAATTCTACAAGAAATGCAGCGAGACGTCATACCATATTTCTCGCGCTTTCTAATTTTGAAACTACTATAGTACTGACCAAGTTAGATCACAGTACAAATCAGGTTTATTGTAAAACACTATTAAGCGTACACAATGAGTCTTCACAACTCCCTGATTCGAAAAAAAAAAGAAGGTAGCATACAGGCATGGCTCCCATACATAAATGCAATTTTTTTGTGATTTTTTCAAGGAAACTGTATCAAAAATTGATTGTATCTCAAAAATAACGTCGGATTCGGTTTTCTCGTGCCAAAAAACCCCCCAATACATATTTTTGAGTGTTTAAGTCTATATTAAGTATGACTTTTGGAAGAAAATTGGACTCTTTTTCATAGGTGTCACTACAGGCATGAAAGTTTTTTCCATCAACCAAAGTCGCTCAAAAGCTAATGATTTCTATTTCTCGGGACCCCCAATCATCCTGTAAAGTCAGATTTTGAATTAAGTTTCTACGATGAGCGCAATCTTGCTAACAAATTTTGCGTACGACGTACAGATTAGCATAAACCATGCTCAAAACGGCCTGATTCGGGTTCTCTGACCTCAGAAACTTCCAGAAAACATGTTTCTGAAGTTTTCAAAATTTTGACCGATTACAATATTTTTCACCTTACACTATGTGTGCGGAAAAGTAAAATGAAGCACTCTAATGTTTGTAGTACAAAGGCAATGTCATGTCGCTGACATTGAATATATCTATGACATGCATATGTGTGAAGACACACAAATAAATGATACAAACAATTTTTTTCTCTAATGAATTATATAAAATGTACCTGGAATGCCACTGATCGTAATTGCACAAAAATATAAAATGAATAGGATGAAGGAATTCATCGTTCGAATCGAAACTTAATTCGATTTGTTTAAAATTAAAAATTTATATATTTAGTAAATGAAAAATATTGAATTAAAACAACAACAAAAAAGAACTTTAACTCGCTCTAAATATCAACTTTTCTGAATTGAACCTCAATAAAGGAAGGAACAAATCGTACTGATTACCAAATTTGGTTTAGCGTTACTTCATACGCTATATAGCCCATGATAATGACACGCTTTCAAAAGTGTACATATGAAAGCTATACACATCCGCACATGCTGATAACAGTTTCGATCACATATTATGCTATAGTTGAGTCTCTTTACTTGTTTGCGTTATGATCATCATGTTATTATTATGAATATCTTCCATTCATTCCATTCACACTCCCTCTCTTTTCTTCTCTCATTAAATTATTTTAAAAAAATATTTACAGATTTCGCCAAAGCAGTTGTTTACCATGTCTTGCCAATATGATTGTTCAACCTGTTTTTAAAAAAATAAATATTCATTAAGTTGAAGATCTTAAGATTCAAAATTTGCGCAACTGCACTGTTCAATGAATTTTGTAAAGCAAAATACATTAGAGTGGCAAAACTATCCTGTGGTTTGCAGAGGGTTACGACTCTTTCGACTTTTGGTGTTCGCAGAAAGACACAATTAAGCATTTCAAATACAATTAATACTAGAATTATCAGTTGCTATTTCCCATACACTGCTACAGAAAATATTAATTTCATTATGCTGATCATTAATTTTTAATTTCATTATCGACATCAAACAGCTCTTATGCATGAAAAATTATTCTCATTTTATTGAATTAAAAAAATGTTCAAAAAATCATATACATTTGGGTGAATGAGTAAGAGAACTAAAAAAAATTATTCATTAAAAGTGTTTTCGTTCATCCAAATTCAAATCATTTGGTTGCCTTATACATTGGGCCAAACGACTCTTTCGATCCAGTACAAGTAATATGCGACCCTAGTGAAAATGGTTGGTAGAGCAAGACCACAGCTTTGACCAAACGATGCAATGCCAACCACCGTGGCCAGCGATGTTTCATTGTGGGGGAAATATTGCAATGACCCAGCAGTGTCTCCGTAGCAAGTGTCGTTTTTTCCTTGAGGGTCATGTGCACAATACTGTCCTTCAATCAGACCGTTTCGATAGGTTGGCAAATTTGGCTCTCGATTCCATTCCATCATTGTTGCGTTGCATTCCGATAGTGGCATCGTAATCAATTCCGTTTTGAGCAGGGACTCTGATTGCACATTCTCTAAGTTCCAAAATATTTAAGTTAAAGTTAGTTGTTCATGCCAAAAATTAATATAGCCTACATTCAGGTGATATAGCTCGCCAGCTGGTTACAGTGAGCTTCACATCCGATGGTATGTCATCTAAATTAGTTTGTAAGCAAGCTGGCCCAATGTAACTTGAAAATTGGATTGTGTTTTTTACCCGAATCAAAGCAATGTCATTCACTTTCGTGTCAAGATCATAAAGCGGATTAACGATGATCTCCTGTTCAAAATAATTCTAATCAATATTTATTTTCGCTTAAAAAAACAGGAATAGTAACCTCAATTTCATGATTGGTTGCTTTAATTACGTCGTTATTTCCATTTTTCAAAGACACCTGTTTAATTTTGATAATAAAAATAAAATGAAAATCATTTTGAAATAAAGCACTGCAGTGTATTTCTTACCTTTCCCATACGGACCATTGTCGGTTGTCGCTGACTCACACAGTGTGCTGCCGTCAGCACAAATTTGTTTGAAATGATTGTACCACCACAATCGAAGGACACCTTATAATCCTCGTCGAAATAGACCAATGCTGCCTAAGAAATAAAAGGAGTTAAAAAGCATTTTAAGTTGGAACTGATCAGGTGATCACACATTGTTTAAAAGGGATAACAAGAGATTTGGCAAACAAAATATAAAAGCATATGAAAAATCAAAATGAAATAATGATATATAGTTCAGACATATATAAATAATCAGATTTCTCTTTTTTGAATCCATTTTTAACAAGAGGTGTATATATTAACATAGAATTCCTTACTGAGAATATGTGAAATAAGTTTAATCAGAATGTTAGAAAATATTCAACATGAAATACCAACCATCCAAGGGAATTCATTATTTTCGGCTAATTCACCATTCAAACTACGATCCCCTGAATAATTTCTTGCAAATACAAAAATCAGTGGATTTTCATCGTCTGGGACCAATTCACCAATTATTATACGATCCGTTGAATGTCGGAAACAGGCTAAACGAAAAATTGAACATGAATTTTTTTTTTAAATGCGTGCCCAAAGCGATCCGAAAAAATGGTTTATATAAAATGATCATTACCATTTTCTGAGGGCCGCATACTTAGAAGTTCAATGATTTTCCTATTTTCTGAGTGAATAGAAATTAGTTTGACTTGTTAGTGTTAATTCATAAGAAATATGACAAATATAGGTTCATTCAAAAATACTTTTACGCGAAGCCAAATACAAGGCATTTTCTCCGTAGTCATTTCTATCGTTGACATTTGCACCGTTTTTAAGTAGCACTTCAACAATTCGCTCATGACCTATGGAAATGATTTTAAATTACATAATTCAAAAATCAACCATTATGACTGAGAGATGTCATATTGTAAAAACGCTATCTGGTGACGTGTGCGAATTGTGGTTGAAATCAAACGATATGAAAATTTAGTTAATAAGACACCATCCAACAATTCCGTCTTTGTAATTACATA